CAGTGAGATTTTTGTTGTGATTAGATCTATAAGCCATAATCTTACGAAGAGCCTTGTTTTTTAGATTTTCATGCAGCTTCATCTAACTTAAATTTCTTAAAGCTGTTTTTAAACATTTGCAAAAATATTTTTTTTTTTTGTTCCTGAATATTAGAGATTTCCTCGGTTTATTATGTTCTTCACTTTTCAATGGATTTACCTGCTCGTTTTCACAATTTATCAGCGCATTTTGGTTACATTTTAATCAGATGCAAACTTTCTTTTTTATTTCTTATTTTGGGCAAGTTTTGAGTGGAAAAAATCTCCATAATTAAAATAAATTACACCGTATACAGAACAAAAATTAAGATTTAAATAAAATCACTGCAGAAAATTTCTATGAACCAAACTAGAACACTATTATGAAAGGAAGAAAGGTAACACACGAAACCTTTTTTCTTGGTAAAAAGTACAATGAGAATTTTTTTACTTCTTTGTGCAAAGTAAAGGAAGTATTGCAATCACGAAAAATTTCGATACCATATTTCAACGAAAATATCCATTTTGACCACTCTCGAATCCATTCGAATGATTTTTCTTCTTACAGACAGTGTTATGATTTTTCTTTTGAATTTCATGCTGCGCAAGAATAAATGACTCTTTTTCCAAAAATGGATTGGAAAATGGATTCAGAGGAGATACTTTCATGATGTCTGTACGTACGTATGTGTGTGTCTGGCATAACTCAAAAACGAGTAGCTTCAAAACATTAAAATTTTGTATATGCTATGAAATGTAGTTGTGCCCTTCCTTTTTTTGGTTTCAAAAGTATATATATTTGTATATGCCCACTCTGTTACCCGGCTCGGTAAGTTCAGTTTTTTTATTCTGATATTTCAGTAAATTGCGCATTTTTTACTTTAAATGTGACTGGATTATACTGTTCTTATATTCCGGTTAAAGTTTTTATGATTTTAGTTGCATGCAATAGATGTAGAATTATTAACAATTTAAAAGTTGTTTAAGTTGCTAGTAAGCCTAACGAAATCGCCATTTGTTTATATTTTAAACTCTTGCTTTATTTGAAGGTGTTTTGAGTTTTCATGTATTTTTGCCTTGATGCGAAGTGAGATCTGAATTGATTCAATAAAGAATATATCTGTAATGAAATTCGAGGAAATAAGTTTAAATGAAGTGCGACCAAAAATGTGTGGAATTTAAAGGACGTATGAGGAAGTTAAATGTGCCCACATGAGATTTTTTATATAGAGAGTTAGTGTATTTCACTCATTCTAAATTTAGAAGGGGTTGTGTAAAGTTTATAATATGTTTTATGAAAAACGGGCATGATGGGCAACGCATTTTTAGATTGGCTGATATATAAAACAGTAAATGATGTGTATGTTATTTGTTACTAAATTTTTAAATTTTACAAAATCATGTTTAAGAAAGCCATTAGTGCGGATCATTAGTGCTGGTGGGGCCCTCGGGCCGTAGTTTGAAGACCCCTGCTCTAGTGGTTGCATTATATTTTCATAGAACTGTTGCTGTTTAATAATTACTGATGTTATTATATATCAAAATGAAATGATTTATAGAAAAATTAAAATTTAGTAGCTACCGTCAAAATCACATAAATATTATTTGGTAGACTCTGCACACGCAAGCGCACACACACATATACACCAAGAAAGTGTGGGGGGGGGGACAATTTTCTTCTAATATTTCCCGTTCTGCTGGGCCAATTGACGGAATGTAATTTGTATTTTTTCATGTCTCGAAAGCAAGACTTAGGATATATATTAGGATATTATTACCATTGTTCTGATATACTTTTCCTGACACAAAATCGGACTTTTTCTGAAATGGCACATAACTTTTTCCGATATTTCGATTCTATTACTCAAATTATATTAAAGTGCCAAGTTTTGTAAAAAATAGCATTAGTAGTTTTCAAGAAATTGCCTCTCAAAATTTTAGTTCCTCAATGTTAATTGAATTTTGTATATATTTATTAATGTCTCTATTTTTATTAAACTTATTTGATTCCTTCCTCACATTTCGAAATTTAGGTTCAGTATAAATAAATAGCTCACGTATATTCTGAATTTATTTTTTAAATTATTTTTTTTTCGTAATTTTTATAAATTTTTCAAAAAGATTTTGAATCATAGCCTATAAAATTTTTACCATAACCTTAATTTAGATGTATTTCTGTATTTCTAGGCATACCTGCAACAAAATTAGAGTTCTTGATTCAAAATTTCCTAAGCTATACACGAATTTATATATTGGCGCGTTTCGAAATTGGGTATAATTTTTATTAGCGATAATAACGCCAAATGTATTTTACGCGATTTGTTAAAATTATTTCAAAGAAGGAACGATTTCCTCGCTCGTGCACAGTGAAAGAGAAAGGAAAATATGTTACCATAAATTAAGGATTTTTAGTGAAGTGAATATTTTTAGTGTGAATTTTCAAGTGAATATTTTTATTGAAAACTGAAATAAGTGCGCCAAAATAAATTTTTTAATTTCTCGGTAAATTTCCTACCAGATTTTACAAAATTTAATGTTTAGGCATAATTTAAGTCATAGTATCGAAATATAGAAAAACGCGGTATATCATATCAGAAAAACTCCGATTTTGTGTAAAAATACTCATGTTGGAACAACGCTGCATTTACATCTAATATGTATCCCAAAGTCACGCTTTCGAGAAATGAAAAGCGAAAATTATATTTCGTCTATCGAACGGGAGATACAGAATTGTCCCTTTTTTTATGAAAACTATAATTTTTTTCCCAAAGTTTTCGCTTCGGAAACTACAGACATCTGCATTGCGTGAGATTCTATGATAAAATACTGAAAAAATTAGTTTTAAATTGTCTGAGTATAACAGAGATATAAATTTAATACAATATAAATTAAATATTAGAAAAATCTTTAATATCTAGTAATTGTGACCTTTCGCAAGCTAGTTAATGTCAGCTAAATATCATGCCAGGTAATGAGAATACAGGTAATGAGAATGCAAATTAACTGTGTAGAGACATTAGTTAATTGGAAAAGCCAGAGAGATGGAAAATGAGCAACCGTCTTCACCGGGAATCGAACAACGGACCTCTAAAAAACCGGCCCAGGGTGCAGACCACTATACTACGAATTCACGCTAGGAAGGCGGGAGAAATACCTTATATACTCCCCTTTTAAAGGGCGACTGGTGTTTTTAGGGAACCCAATCGCCAAATCCTGGGTGGGGAGAAATCCTCATCCACCACCCTTTTAGTTCGGGCGCTACTGTAGAGACATTAGGTTAATTGTAAAAGCCGGAGAGATGAAAAGTGAACAACTGCCTTCGCCGAGAATCGAATCACGGACCTGTGGAATACCGGCCCAGCGTGCAGACCACTACATCACGAAGACACGCTAGGAAGGCAGGAGAAATACTTTATAACTGCACTTCCTGCTAGAGAAAATGCAGCACTATCAGGATTTGGTTGTACAATCACGCAAATTGCTAGGAATATGCAGCCGAAAGATTTATGCATATGATATGAAGATGCCAAGTTTGTCACGCGATATGTTAGCGAGATGCGCTGTGTGAAACCAGTTTTTAGATATTTTTTTCATCTGGGAAGAGACTAGTTGAAGAGATAACTGACGAACGACAACGAAGTAAGTTTCGGATATCAAATGTTTTCACACGGGAGTTTTCGGTTTAGCCTACGGATGGTTATTTACTTTTCCGTCGCATTGCAACTGATACATACCTACGTCCGTCCATTGTATAAAACAGTGGTATTAAACGCAAAATTGCATCAAATTGCATTAGTCCAATCTGAAATCCACATCTGAAAACAGCTGACGGTCCAGATTTTTTTTTAACAAAAAGAAAAACACAAAAAATATATTGGATAAATTTTAAAATTTTGCTTGCATGCTATTTATCAGAACATTCGTAAACAATAATAACAATATCGTATACCGAAAAAATCATTTTAATAGGCTGTGCTCCAAGAGTAATAATGAATGCTTTAAGGTTCTTTATAATTGTGAGTTGTAAAAGATGTATTAAACAAAGAAATAATAATTTGGTCAAATATAAAAAGAAATCTCTGGTTTTAATTTTTATCCTTTTTTCTGCTCAGTAGATATCGTCATATATAGTTTTTTTTCTTAATCAATGGGTATGAATATGGCTTACAAGTATACTTACATCTTGATATTTTGCATTTACTTTGTTATAGAGAAGGAGAGAACCGGTTCTCTCTGGATTCGTGTCCAACATGTTTCTATTAATGCAAATATTTGTGGATAATTTGTATTATTTTCTTATATTTGATAGATTTATGATTAATTGCAACTGTACAAAAAATCCGTTAACTTATATTTTTCAAATATATGATTCGTTTCATAAATACGGACTAAAATGATCACTTATCTCTTTTCTGAGCGTAGAATTTACCTACTTGTTGTTCATACAGTGTTTGTTCTTTTGTTTTTAAGAAAAAAATCATATGAGAATTGATATCTGTTATTGAAAAAGAATGGAAATTTTCTTCTGAAAATATTTAAGGCTTTGCTCATTTAAGGATTTAATCCATTTTATTAGCTTGCTTCAGTTTGAAGCATATCTACTGTTATCCTTAGGCATAAAAATTAATCCACATTGTATCAAATTTTTAGCCAAATTTTCTCTTAGTGCATCATGTTTTAATTAATTTCATTAATAATTTATAATAAGCATTACTTTCTCATTTAAATGATGAATATGAGTAAAAACAAAGTTCGCTCCCTTAAAGAAGGCAAGAAAGGATTTTCAGGAATGGGTATGAAGAATAATGCCCTACCTCAAACTGGACTTAGACATATGCTTCTGAACGCCATTCGCAAATTTCAAGGCCCCACTTCGGGATGTCAAGACATTGTAACATGAAAAAGGATTAATTTAAGGGTGTTAATTTTGACTTCAGTCAGTAACAGAAGAAACCGACGAAACATGTATGCAGGTAATTTACCTCATCTGGAATATTTCATCACGGTGAAGATCAACTGTAGGCACATCACATGTAGCTGCCACTTGCACCATTTTATTCATGATTTGACTGTTTCTTGTACCAATGTACAGAAATCCAACAGGATAATGGAAATGTATACCTGTTTAATAGGTAGATATAGGTACTTTTTAATGATATGCACTGGTAAATGCCATTAAGTAATTAGATATGTTTGAAAACATCACATATCGAAATCAAAGCAACAAAATACTGATTTCTTTTTTAGCAAAGTGACAGGTGTCTTTACTTTTACTTAGTATCCTTGGCATTTAAATGCTTGTATGTGACTATTTTTATTTACCTGATAGTTCTTCTAATTCTCGATATCTACTGATAGAGTGCCTTGAAAGTATTTGGCAAGCTGGATCATCATCAAGGATTCTAGTTATTCTTCCTTCGTCATAATGCGATGAAAAGATTTCACGTTGCTGTCTTTCTTTTTCCTTTAAATAAGAGAATTCAGTTTTTTAAACTATTTAAAATGTAGTAAGTTAATACGTTGTAATGACATGAAATATTAACCCAGTTAAGTATGAGTCGGGAATTTAAGTAACGTGAAACTACTTAAAAATATAACACCTTATATGTTTTATCTATATCTTTTCTATGTTACTCTCCCACTACTGACAAAGTGTATAAACCCGCTACATTGGGTGCATGTGGTTTTCGGGCATAAGTAGATTCACCTAGGTAGATCTACTTAAGCGAATTGCTTTTGCCTTAATCAATTAACTGTTGATCAATCTAATCGTATCGCAAAGAAGACAGCCAAATAAAACCTTACTCGCTCTTTTTCTTAATTGCATTCATATTTAATCCGCGATCCTAAGGCTCAGCCCTAAAAAGCCAATTTGGGCCTAAGATCCTAGGTTTTAAGGGAGCATAAAAAATTTTTAAATTTCCATAATTCTTTCCCCCTCCCCAAATCGAGAAAAGTGATTATTTTGGGTCTCTGAATAAATGCGGCTCCTAGGGTTCCAAATTGCCTTAATCGGGCTCTATTTACTCTCGCGTTTTCCTGGAATAAACAAATGCAAACTAAAGAGAGGAGATAAATGGGTTATATCCTATTTTATGTTTTCCCAGATGACGCTTTTTTGATACTCTATTTTTCCTTTTTATTCAGGGTACATGCTGAAATGAAAACGCGATAGAACCTGACACAGGAGTTTGTGTGAAGTGATACTGCTACAAACCTCCGACTTTTAAATTTCATGTTCAAATACTGCTTAGTCACAACATTAATGTAATTGGGTTGATACCCAATACGGTAAACAAGAGTATGTTTTATGTAATAATAACAAACACTTGCTATCATTTCGTCCAATTTCTTTCTTTGAGAACTTGCTTCGACATCAAAATATGTCTTAACGAATATAATGAAAGGAATAACATTATTTAAATTATGGAAGTATGCTAGAGGTATATTATTAAGAGGACTTATACACATTAAAACCCGTAAGACCTTCGAATCTGTGACTGTTGCAAGAATTGGGATTACTTACTTATTTTAAAAGCAATTACTTCCAACTTTTTACAGCTGACTACATAATACAGCTGCTTTTGAAATAGTGATTAGAAAGTTTGTGTTGCCACAAATATTTTTATAATTTAAACCTCTTTGTGACAAAACGTTTCCACCTTGCGCGCACAGTTTAAGACATTCTGTTGCATAATTTAATTCCATATTTAATATATAGTTTTATAATATTTGGAAACTATTGTGAACCAAAAAGTCTAAGAATTTCATGTGAAATTTTTATTTTATTTGGAGTTGAGTTTATAAAATGTATTTTATTAAAAACATCTGTACTGTTTTCGTCCATAAAAATTTTTAATATTAAAATATTCATCATATTTTTCAGTTAGAAAATAGTGCCCACATAAAGAATTCCATCAAATTTCAAGTATGTACCATTAGCCATTTTTAAAATATCATGCGCGCAAGGGGGAAACATGACGAAACATTTTGTCACAAAGCGGATTAAATCACAAAAATCTTTGTGGCAACAGAAACTGTCTGGTTACTAGTTTCCAAAGCAGCTATATTATTTAGTCAGCTGTAAAAAGTTGGAAGTAATTGCTTTTAAATAAATATAAAATATCCCAATTCTTGCAACAGTCTCATATTGGAAGATCATAAGGGGTTTAAGGTGTATCAAATTAAGCCCCCTTAAGGGAATAAATGACTTCCTAAAGGAACTGTTAGTCAAAAATAATTCGTATTCACATTACACTTGGGAAACTCTCACGCATCCAGTCCCGTTCGACAGGATTTGAACCTACATCGAACTATCAGTGTTAAGCGGTTTTAGCCCTCCGTTAGCTGGTAGACATGCAGTAAAAGGGAAGGGTAGCTGAAATTGTAAGACCTTTGATGTTCTTCTGATGTTACGAAAACTTGCAGAAGAATAGAAAAAGGCTAAATTTGCATGATGTTTACTATCACCACTTTCAAAATACCTAAAGTGGGAAAAGCAGAACGAGATATCACCGATATTTAATACAGAAAAGTAGAATATTAAACTATTAACTAGATATAAATTATAAAATCATTAGATAGCTAATATTTAGTATCATTAGTGATGTAGAAAACTAAGGTATGCTATATACGGTATTAGAAACAGCTTTGACTAGTTATTGTATACTACAAAAATTCATAAAATTTATTCATTGGGTATGTTATAAATTTTACCAATTCAGTTTATTATATGTCACATCAGTTAAACTTATAAATCACATCAATTCAGTTTATTGTAAGTAATATCCGTTGGGTATTATTAGGAATGAAATAAAGATATAAATTACTAATTATTTATTAGTAAGGTATTATGTTTATTCCTTTTAAACGTAATAGCTTAATAATTTGTGTCTCTATCTGATAATATGTCAAACAACTACTCAGTTTCTTAAGCAACAACAGTTGTTATTTGAAAGTTTGTTAAGCAATTACAATTGTTATTTAAAAGATGAATTAAAGGTATCATACCACATCGAATTGCAATATTCGGGAAATTAGCTAGTTAGTAAACACGTAGAGGCTAAGTTATGCATCTTATTTAATGGCAATATTTGCCAGCCTAGGTAGATGATGAGTGCACTGATAGCATAATGCAATATAAGGAATGTAAAATTGGAAAAACTCAAAAATAACAGCTGCTAACATCAAACTAGATTAATTATGAATTCACGTTGAAGATACACATCACATATACAAATATAATTTATGTTTGTGCAAACATTCAAAATTAATAATTAATCTTACCGTTGGTTCGTCAGGTCCCACCAGACAAACTCTCAAAGGTACATTGGCTGAGGCGTGTCTGGCAGCAGCAGATCCAAACATGCCTGCACCAATGATGCACAAGTCGTAAATTATTTCTTCGTCCATAACTTCTGTTTACTGAAAAGTCGCGAAACATAAATGTAATTCCAATGAGAAAAATGTTACAATAAAATTCAAAAGCAAAGATTTTATTACATACATAAGATATAAAATACAGGGTGCGACAGCGTTCATAGCGTAATTTGACTTGCGTAGCACAATGACGTACTGCATGAATGCGCGCCAGCTCGTGCCACATTCGTGTACTAATGAGCTGCCATTTCGAGTGTGACAGTGATATGGATCATTGGAGTGCACATCATCGCGCCTTCGCTGTTGAAAGTTATTTCAAGAATAACTACTTTGTTATTGCTAACCAGCGTCTATTTCGGCAACATTTCAGCTTGGGAAGTTATGGGAAAGTTCCAGATGGATGGACCATTGCGACAGACATTTCCAGGTAGAGTAATTTCCCGTTTTGGAGACATTTCCTGGACGCCTCGGTCACCTGATCTTTCATGTGCCGACTTTGGGGGCACCTGAAGCAAGAAGTTTTCCAAACACGTTGTGCCACAATTCCTGAGTTGAAGGATCGCATCCAAACTGCAGTCGGCAATGTCTCAGGGAATACGTTACGCCGAGTAATGGCAAGCTTCCAACGCCGCCTAAATGAATGTGTTGGTGCAGAGGGGGCATCATATTCAAAAAGTAATCCACGCAATAGACAATGACTTACGCATTAGTAAATGACATACCTTTAACTATTAATTGACATAAGAGGTAATAAATAAATTACAGTTACTGCCTTATGGTATGCTTTTAATATCTTACTATGAACGCTTCAGCACCTTATACTATGATGTGTAATTTTCCAGTTTAAAATAAAATGCTTTGAATATTCTAAAATTATTAACATTTAGTGCAAAATAACAAAACTATATTTAAGGCAGTTATAGTAACTTGATTTTATTATTTTTAGCATGTAATGTTTTTAGTATTGAACAGTCTAAACACTTTGTTTGTATGCTGTAGAGAAATCGGTTGCTATAGCCATGGCCTAGGGTTCAAATCTCGGAAACGAGATGGATGTTTGTAAATGTGTAGTGGCTTTCAGGCTGTGTACTTAATACGTTCGTTACACTATTAATATAGAAAATTCGTAGCACTATTGGGCCAAAAGTAATCTCGAGAAATTGATGGTGGATTGCTGAGAGACTGGAGACTCATATTCGATCTAAAAGAGATTGTGGACATTCCCGGGGAATTCTTCTCAAATATTGGGATGAAGCTGGGCAGAAACGTCTAGTAACCTGTAGAGCACTCGATGACTAAGCCAATGAGAGACTCGCCACGATAAAATTCATTGGTTTCTTAGCTATTCACGGACCTGATTTGGCTGTAAGTTCAGGTTTGGAGAATTAAAAATAACAAATGAAACTAAAGGTTATTGATAAAATAAAGGAAATAAAAACGTAAGGAAATGGTGCAACTTATGAAGAAATGTTGTGTTCTGTGAAGAAATCCTACCATGTACAAGCCTTCGAGGATAAAGAATTACAATGCGAGAATAATCATATCGTCTGCAGAGGTACTGTATTCTCTTTTACGTGTGCTATAAGTTAACAAACAATTGCTTCATATTAACTTTTTATATCATTTTCTAATTATTGGTTTACGTAGAAGTCATAAGCAATTATTGCAATCAGTCTAGCACCTTTAATGTGTCACCTCACATTTGCGCTGATTCAAAGGTTCAGGATTATTTCTCATGCGAGCTGGCTAAGAGAGATAACGCTTTTGAAGAGAACATCTGAAGGAAACGGACTCGTGCTCTTGTTACACATGGGAAATTTATGAAAGCGCCTATGCTGCCACTTCATTTCCGAGATTCGAATCCAAGTCGAACTGCCAATGTTCAGCGGTCTTAACCATTCGACCACTCGCAGACTTTCTTCCAGAAAGCCCCTGATTTAATTCTAAATATAAGAAAGGGTTAAAAACGGAAATCAGTGTAAGAACTCCATATGATTACGATGTGACGTGATTTGGGCTAAATGCTCCAGTTGAAAAAATGAGTTTTTATTAAGTAGTTAATAAAGGTGAAAATTAAAAAAAGCGATTATTTTTACTCTTTCGTGAGTAAATATACATTCAAGCCTATAGATAAAAGATTAAAGACTCACTTAGCTCTTTAAAATTTAAAATTTTCTTCTTTAAAATTTCGCTTTCCAAATTATTTTGATATACTTTTGGAAAGTCGTTTATAAATTCTAAACCGAAAGTAAGAAGTTTACAATTTACGGTGAATCTTTACATTATGGTAACCTGGCGATTTTTTGGCGAAAGTTTGGCGACCAACCCTGCTACAGCAACCTGCTAGTTTTGTTTTGGACGCCATTTTGTTTTCACGAAGTAAAAGCACGGTTTTTTTTTTTTTTTTTTTTTTTTTTTTTTTTTTTTTTTTTTTTCAACTCAACATTTTTTCCAACAATCTGCTAGCCGAATTACGCTTATACTAGAACTTTTATGGAACAAAAATGCTTAATCACGACGAAGATTAGGCGCGAAATTGAGAGAAAGTGCAGAATCGCAAACTGCTTGCCGCGTTTTTAAGAATTGCACATACACGGTATCCATGTACACGTCGACCTATTTTAACTTAAAAAAAAATCCCAGAATTGCACAAAAATGGCATTGCGCACACTCTTGATTTTATCTATGTACACATCGATCTATTTTCACTTAAAAAGTCAAGGAAAATTGACAAAAATCCAATTCTTCTTACTCTTGTAAAAAGCCCCAAACAAATAAGTGGGCGATTCTGCACTTTAGCAGCGAAATTGTTTCTAAGTGCTTATTAGCTAAAATCACGATCGTAATTTTCCGGAAAATGTCACATTACATGTCTCATGATCTCTCATTTCTCTGAGACAAAATAATCCTGTCATTCGAACTGTGCACTTTTCAGATTATTCAGATTAGTCTTCTCAGATTCAGAAGTCCTAGCTAGTAACCTTTATCGCCTTACCAAAATGTCGCCAAACTACCTGTTACCATATTCTAAAGATTAGCCCAATTTACTATCGCAGGATTTATTACTATTTTTCTGAATACTAGAGCAATTGTACTTCAATACTCCTGTACTTCATAGTACAGGAGATGAGGGAAGAAATGAAACAAATTAAGTAATTTTGTTTCACATTTAAGCTGTATTAAAATTTTTCGAATTATTAATGAGACTAAATAAGAAATTTTAAGTTATTTTATGAATTTTGACACTAAATCTTTTGTTCCTCTGAAACTGTGGAACTTAATTTTAAAATTAAGATGAATCAATTTTTTCAATTAAAGCAATAGAAGATTAAAATACGCGCCAAATTTGGTCGTTAAATTTACAAATGTTGCCACATGATCGTTTGACATAAGTAGAAAGTATCCCCACATCTAATTAACAATTGAAATCTACCAAAAATATTTCTCATAATATTTGACCGGAAATAAGAAAATATGTTACAATGTTCACATTATCTACAAGAGAAATAGTATCATAGGAATTAAATACTCTACAATAAGTCTTAAAAACTTGAGCCTAATGAATGATATTAATTCTCGTATTTATTTTCTGTATTCGAAAATCAGAAAGAAGAAAAACGATTATTTTTATCTCAAATACCATTTGCCTATTAAACAGTACATTCTTAGAATCATTTTGATATAAATTCAAAAATTCTTTGATATAATAATATAAATTCACTATATTATTTTATATTATTTTTTAAATATAAAAAATAATCACATTTTCATATTTAATATTAAAAAAAATAATCTTACTAAGCCTTCGTTTTATTGCACAAACTCTTTCACCACGGTTATAGAAAAGTCAAAGACACACAGAACACCCCTCTACGTCATAGTATTGTATGAAATCAGCTGTAGGTAGAGATTAAATGTAAGCAACCGCGCATGCGTTATTTTTTGTTTCAATGGAAATTGATTCCTTGCCAGCTACGCTAAAGTCTTTTCAGATGCATTTTATCTACCTTGGAGTTGACTAATCCTTAGTAGCTCTAAATATCGGAGTGTAAGGAGATACTATGTGCCTAGAATCAGATTTTTATGGAGATTGTTTCATCATGATCTAAAAAATAGAATATTTGCTTACGAATGTAATCGATATATTGAATCTCGTTGTCTATAAAATTAATGTTTACATTAGATAAATCAAATGAACTGGTTACTGAGCAAAATAAATTTCCTTGTGTAACATTACTTTTCAAGATATATGATTTATTAATCATTTTCCCTAAATGAATAGTTTTTAAAGCGAAATTAAATTAAATAATTTTTTCCATTAAACAAAATAAGTTTTAGTGCAATGGCAGATGAATTTTATTTCGCTGTTTTATTGTGAAAATGTTTCATATTGAACAAATAGTGACTAGCAATGCTCAGACTACGTTTACGTGCCTAATATAGGAAGGCCTAAGAATGCTTTCCGAAGATCTAAGAATGAAGGCCTATGAAGGCTTTTCGAAGACCTAAAAATAAACGTCTATGAAGGCTTATTTACATTCGTTTTCTTTTAGAGTATAATTTTGTGTGTTTTCGATGTACTAAAAGGAATTTTCAGATAATAATTTCCAAAATGAAAGAATAAACCCTGAAGCTCTTAATAATGGTCTTACATTTTATACATTCGTACATTATATATCACGTATTCTTTCCTTCAGGAGTTAAGAAACGGGCAGGTTTTAGGTTATAACTGAGAATACTGTCAAGAATTCAAAGGCAAGAAAGCTACATACGTAAATATGTATAGTATAGATAACGCAGTGATTTATTATATTTGCGGTGTTTGTATATTACAAAATTCACATGGATGATTAAAAAAGCAGCAAATTGTTTTTTAAATGCATAACTAAAAAAATACTTCATCGCAGAAGTCTTCTACTTCTGAAGTGACCACAGACTTCACGTGCCATCTCCACCTTGTCAATAAAATTATCAGATACTTCAGCTGGAAGTAAAGCCCACGAAAACATAATCTTAAGATAATTCTAAGATTTTCGGAAACGGGGACAATTTAGATACCCTTCTTTTATAGTGGTCCCATAAATTCTCATTCGTATAGCAGTCTAATGATCAAACTTGTTATTCCTTCCTCTGAGTTTCATGATTATCAAAGAACTGATTGTCTGCGACTTCTTTAAGTATCCAGGTATAATCATCTATTAAATGACTTTCATTAACTATCAATCTTTGTATGAGCATCTAAGATAATTGTTACATAAACCAGGATATTCTCTCTAACTGTTTGATACCAGCTAGAATAATACCATTTCAGAATGTTGGATATAATGCATAGTGTTTGTTCTCTTTCACTTTCCAGATTTTTGATACGATTGCATCTCAGTAGAGAACTGTGGTACCCAAGCGGTGGTCTACAGAATGGTTTACAAAAGATTTTATTATAATTTATATGGGTTTTTATTACAATTTATATGTTTTACTAACAAAGTTTATTAACAAAGTTTTATTAACAAAGTTAACAAAAGTTTTTATTACAATTTATATGGGTACAACTCTTTACGATATGAGTATATTTTCATTCTTTCTTCTGAGAATATACATATGAAAACTAATTTTGAAGAATACATCGTTTTTCATAAATACCGAGGGTATTCTCGTTAACTTTTATTTTAAAGAATTTATAATTTTCTAAAAAATATCTTGTTATTACTTCATCGGTACGTAAAAAATGGATTCAGAAGAGATTTTTTCGTGTCTTCTGAACGTACGTGCGTATGTATGTACGTATGTATCTCACATAACTCAAAAACGAGTAGCCTCAGAGCATTGCAATTTTGTGTATAGAACGGCAATAACATGTAGTTGTGCACCTTCCATTTTGGTTGCAATCTGCCGCATCAAAAGTATATATACGTATATTGGTACGGTTTTTGTATTTAGTTCGCTATTTTTAGTAGAATTGTAATTAAAATTGTTTCATTCCTCCGTGAAATGCAGCGCGTGACGAGTTTTAAGAGAAATCTACGACGAAAAAGTAAAAATACAGGAGCACGCGCATTTGATAAACAGATATCGCGTAATTGCTTTTGCTTTTCGGAAAACTCCAGAAAATAGAAATTACCAAAAGCTTCTCGTAACTGATTAAAAAAAGCTTATAAAAGACGGAGAAAAACATCTTAGTTCAATTGTTTACTAAGTTGTTGTTTACTTAGCTACTGTAATTTTTAGATCAGATTAGCTTTCTCTGCGCTTTGAACTGTGTTCCATTTAACGTTTTAGTAGTTTAAAATTTTAACTACAGTGTGATAGTGTACAAATATCTGTGGGGAAAAATTTCAGCATTTTTTTATTTGTTGTGATAAGAATAAATTTTATTAACTTTTCTTTAAACTTGTGCATTCAATCTATTACAAACCCGTACGCACGCAACAATATATACACCCACTCTGTTGCTGAGGTGTATACGACAATATACACTGGTGCGCAAAAATTAAGGACGAAGTCGAAAAATTAGCATATCAGCTGAACGAAGAGGCAGAGCGGACAGAAAGACCAATCAGGAGATTAAGTAAGGTGATGTACGGTAGCACATACGCAGATATGCAGGTAGACGTAATGGGGGAGTGTCTGAGTAGTATAAAGCATGTTGTAGGTGCAAGATCAGTATTTCTGGCAAAGAGATTGCACGCCTTATAGCAGTTAAAATCACACCGAGTTGCTACCTCAGCGAGAAATGGCGAATAATCAATCTGTTAGACGACTCTGGATGCTTTTACCCGAGGTCGAATCATTGGGAAGGAGGAAGGCAGTGTGACAAGTGTGGTTGCAGAGTTCGGAATTGCTCACAGCATCGTTTCACGACTTTGGAGACAATTTCAAACTACAGAAACCGCTATCCGGGGTTTAGTAGTGGTCGTCCACGAGGAACCACACCCGCAGATGACCGGTATATTGCCTTACAGGCCAAAAGAAACAGGCGGCAGACAGCGGGAGAAGTCGCTAGACACACGACACAGGCGACTGGACGACCGATATCGCGTTTTACCGTGGCCAGAAGACTGCACGGTGGTGGTCTGTTTGCACGACGCCCTGTACGGTGTGTAGCTCTAACGCCTGCCCATCGGAGAAGGCGTTCTCTGTGGTGCCGGGAACACCGGAATTGGAGAGACAATGAATGGGGCCGAGTACTCTTTACAGATGAGAGCAGATTCAGTCTGAGTAGCGATTCTCATCGCATACTCATCTGGAGAGAGCGGGGAAGCCGCAATCATCCCTGGAACATCATTGAAGGGGACAGGTATGGATGTGGCGGTGTTCTCGTTTGGGGAGGCATCATGCTTGGTAGTCGTACAGACCTTCACATCTTCGATGCAGGTTCAGTCAACGGGACCCGTTATTGTAACGAGATTCTTCTTCCATATGTGCGTCTTTTTAGAGGCGCTATGGATGCGCAGTTCCTTTTCATGGACGACAATACCATGTCATCGCACAGTAGCTGCCGAACAGCTCTTAGAGAGTGAGGATATTGAACGTATGGATTGGCCGGCACGATCTCCGGATCTCAATCCCATCGAGCATGTATGGGATTTTCTAGGCAGACGCTTGGCAGCTCGTGCCTTACCACCAGTAACGATTCCGGAGCTTTCGATTGGCGCTGCGCTGCAAGACGAATGGGCAGCAATGCCTCAACAACTCATTGACACCCCATTCTCAGCATGGGCAGACGCTGTGAAACCTGCCTAGCAGTCAGAGAGATCATATCCCCTATTAAAACCGGATGTTTCTTGCTGGACACCCATCACAGGGATGTTTCGGCCTTCAGTCGCATTGCGCTCCATGCTACTTTTTCAATAAAGCTTCTTTTTATCCCTCTGATTTCTCTTTTAGTAAGTGTTGCTTACATTACTCATGTCCTTACGTATTGGGGATCTTACGGTATTAAATGTGTTGATTTGGAAAGCTTTTGTACAAAGTTATATTGAAAAAACTGTGTCGTCCTTAATTTTTGCACACCAGTGTGTACACCTCACTCTCGGCTCAGTGAGCTCAAATTTTTACTCTTATATGTTGGTAAATTATGCATTTTTTCTTAAAAGATCATTGAATTATGTTGTTCTCATCTTCCGGTTAAGGTTTTTATGCCTTTAGTTAATCTGCATGCAATATTTGTAGAATTATCAACAAAAATTAAAAAAAAATTGCTTAAGTGCGGTTAAGCCTAATTTATTTTTACCTTAGGAGCTATATTTGTTTACATTTGAAACCTAGCAGAATAATGAATTTATTCTTTCTGCACCTTCAGTGTCTTTTTGCCATTTTGCCGAGTGGGACTAAGCTTTTGATTTTGTGCACCGAAAAATCTGCCTTCTTGCCTGCTGGCCGAATTGCTTGTTTTTGCATAGAAACTGTAATTTTAATGGTAAGAAGTGTTTTTTAAATGTTTTAACTGTATTTGGTGTTTTATGTTTTTCTATATCTCTCAATTTTTAATGAAAATATCTTTAGTTTTTATGTATTTTTGACTTGCCGGAAATTAAGAACTGGATTTATTGAACGAGAAACATATCTCTAATGGAATTCTAGGAAATAAGTTTAAATGAAATGCAGGAAAAAATGGGTATAATTTACTATTCCGTACAAGAAAATCATGTGGTGTACACAGCAGAATGTTTTTTATTTGAAGGATTCCAAAATCCAAATTTTGAGAATCTGTTAGAACTTAGGTTCTAGAAAAGTTAGTATTCGACCTATCTCTAGTTTAGACGTATTCTATTTGCAAAATATTTATGAAGAACAATTTAAAGTAAATGAGAAATATCTTGAAATCATACATCTTTATTATTTCAAGATATGTTCTTTATTGTCTTAACACGATACATTTCATGACCTGAGACATATACACTTTTAAAGG